CGCGTCAGGATACTTGAAGCGGTCAAGCCCATCTATACGAATTACGGGGTGAGATCGAAGCAGACCAAGCACCACTTACTACCAACAACTGAAGCGATCGCGATTCGGTTGAGCCTTATTCGTTCAAAAATAGTCAGTCAGAGCCCTGGATTTAACATGGACAGTCATAAACGGTACAGTGATATGACGCTGGTTATCCAATGACTGTCAAAGCATTTATGTACAGTACGATTGCTTCATTGTTTCTCACCCTCTCGTCCCTCTCACCTGTGACCTCGAACAAGCCAATTCCCTCTGACCCCCTCTAGGATCTGATTGGATCATTTTCCGCTATTTGCAGCACTTGGAATCCCTGACCCCAACACGAGACTATCTGGTTACAGGCTCGTACGTTTTGTAATGCTCTTGTTGTCACGTCCAGTCCATTTGTGTGCTGATGGCACTCCTGCTGCACAGTCGAAGTTCACTGGGCCCGCCTAAGACTCATGGTTGTAAACAAAGTGTGGTTTCTCGCCCGGTTTGGCTGGGCAAGCACCTGGTCCCTTGTTGCGGCTGAACCATCCGACAGATCGATAAATAAACCCGATCGGTCGTGTGACTTTCTGGCCAGCACAGGAGGAGGACAGGTTCCGAGTCCGATGCTGCCTATGTGTTGGTAGAGAATCATTACAAGAGGATCAGTTGTGGAGTGGTGTGCCATATGAAAAATTCGAAATGGAAAATGCTCAAGCGATAATTGCACTGGGTCAACGCTTGACTCGTCCAAGATACACACACTATTTTTCGAAGCGGTTTAGGTTACAAAATTTGGTCTAAGCTGTCAAACCTACTGGATCTCCGCTGGTCATTTGGTGGAGCTTAAATCAATCAATCAATCAATCAATCAATCAATCAATCAATCAATCAATCAATCTATCTATCTATCTATCTATCTATCTATCAATGAATCAAACAATCAAACAATCAATCAGTCTATCTAATTATCTGTCTATAAATCTATCAATCACTCAGTCAATTAGCCAAACTCTTTTTGATTCCTTCGATTGTAAAATCGCCCTAATAAAGGTTACCGACGGTAACCGAAACGTCGGCTTATTTTCAACCGTACCAGCATCGCTGTGTTTTCACAATGATAACTTATATAAAACTTATCACATGGCTCATCGATCTTTCGATACACTCTGAACGTAGTTCACATCAAGTAATCAATCAACCAAAAATTATGTAGTGGTATCCAAAACTGTTTCCGAAACCGTCTGAGAAGTACGTCCAGTTACCTGTTAAGGCTCGTACGCCATCATCAACTCCTCCGCTGACTGTTTTTTGACTGTTTTCTCAGATTGATAAGGACACAGAAAGACAGAAGTTATGAGATACCTGCACTTCTCTACTTCAAACAAGTGCATTGCTTTATGTGCTCAGTAATACACAGCAGCCACAAAAGTGATAAGTTTACCCACTACTGTTCCAAACCGAGTGAAGGGGGAGAAATAAATCTGGTCGTGTCTACAACCATTGCTTACTATCGATGACATACTGATCGTTCGTAACCAGGATCGAACGAAGGCTTTATATATGCATACAATTCGTGTGTGTGTGTGTGAGCAGTGAGAGAATTTTAAAAGCAAAACACAGCACGATTGAGAACTCCAACAATAGTTTTATCACCTTCAAAATTAAAACGAATGAATGATCGAAGTTCTCCAGTTCAGTCTAATATCAACTTAGTCTCCGTTCAATGACAATTACCTGTGTGAGGACAGACGATAGACGGGTTGTCCAAGGATTAGACAACAGAGCTACAAAAAGGATTATATGATCATAGCTAACATATCAAAACATTCTTATTCATACATCCATTATATATGGGAAAAATGCAGAGGAAAAATAGTCTGTTGTTATTTCACTATGAGCCGTACGTATCGAACAAACAAATGACAAACAAAAATAGACTGGAAAATTTGTTGGCACTTGTTGTGCGACCGACGGACAGAACGGAGTCATGGATACGGTGCTCGGGGTTCGTAACAAAGTAGATCAAATCGTATGTGAGATACACTTTGCCTATGTGACCGGAGCACAAGTCGATCAATGCGATAATAGTATTGTTTCCGTTCCCCTCGTACACAAACACACAGAGTTCTGACCTTATTCGTGACTGTTGACAAAAATAGGGCTTGACAAATAAGCTTCCTCTGTGACAACAATCGAATAAACCGAGTTTCTTGGGGGCAAAAAGGACATATTGAGACACCCCTTGCGCATGATTCTCAAGCAATCTCCTTTTCGACAATTTTAGAAAGTAGCGATCAGAAATTTGAAATGGAAATCTGTACAGGGGAGAGAGGAACATATATCCCTTTATATGTTTCCAAATAAATTTTCTTTGAAAATTGAGATTTTAGCTTATTCCTTGTTTCAACTATTTAAAGTTGAAATATGATGCAAAATGATCTTATACAGGGTTTATTCTGTTTTAGCGTTGGATACCAAGAGCGATTTTCGACTTGAATATTCTTCAATATTTTTGAGAACAGTAAGAATCAATCATTTAATTCAGTCTCATTTCACATTCAATTCACAGCTACTTGTGAGTAGTGGTGTGGGATAAATGATATTAGTTTGAACTGAACATCTTACAAACTTTCACTCCACGTATACTCCTCAGTTTTTCCAGGCAACCATACATTCGGAAGCATTAGGCTCAAGTTTTTCTCTTATTAGAGCTCGTTTGTAGTGCACATCCACTGTGACATCCGGGCTCTGAACTCCGAACCTATCTAATGGAAGCGGACAGCTGAACAAAGATGAATTGGTGATTCGGTTCAGTCCAGGTATTAGCTGGATGGCACAGTGGAAAATACACCTTCCATGCCCGGACGGGATTGTAGATGTGCACTACTGATGAGCTCTAATAAGAGCAAAACTCGAGTCTACCGCTTCCGAGTGCATGATTTTCTGGAAGAACAGAGGAGTGCATGTGTGTGTGTATGTATGTACGTATGTATGTATGTGTGTGTAGGTGAAGTTTGTAAGATGGTCAGTTCAAATCAATATTCATCTCATTTTGTTTAATGATTGAGCTATACCAGTTCGTAGAGAACGGGGTGAGTGTGTGCATCACTCATTTAGAAATCCTCAATCACATACTGACTTCACGTAATTCGA